CTTTCTCAGCCATGTTCCTGCTGCTGGCCTGTCACTTCCAGAGGCACAAGTGACCTCACAGACCCTCTCACAGCCATTGGCTTCTTACTAGATTATGAGTTCCTGAGACACAATTGACCACCAAACCATCACCATCCTTGTCTCCTGGTACCTGGAAACATACAAGTAAGGTTGCTTCATCAGATTCATCTAATAGATTTCCTAGCATGATTTTGAGTAAAGAACTGTTCCTCACAGGAACTGCAGTAATTATGATGGTGTATTTTATAGCTCTACTTCTGTCTCTGCTTTGTCTTGTCCATCTCTCTACTCTGTCTTCAAACTGCTCTCCAAGGGAATAATTCCATGAATCATAGAATAAATCAGGTTAGAAGAGACCCCTGAACCTCATCTTGTCTGGCTATCCTGCTCAAGGCAGGATAACCTGATGAGGTCCTTCAAGGTCTCTGCCCAGTTTGGCATCATCAACAAATGAGCTGAAAATCCACTCCGTCACATTATACAGGGAGTTCCAAAAGACTTTCAGCAGTTTTGGCCCAAGCTTCCTATAAGGAGATTATGGGAGACCATGTCAAAGCAACTGCTAAGGTCCGGGTAGAAAACATCCCCTTATTTCATATACCTGTACGGGTTCAGCAATCCCTTCCTTCTCCTTCAAGTGCCTGGAAATGGCTGCAAGAGGACTTGCTCCATCACCTTCCCAGGGACTGAGGTGGCGTTGACCAACCTGTAATTCTCCCAATCCTCCTTCTTGCCCTTCACTGAAATTTTTAATGTCTGCTTTTTCTGAGGATCCCAGAGCCTCTCTGACCTCAGCAATACCTCACTGGAGGGTAGTTCAGCTTTTTAAAATGCACAGAGGTCACAGGTCCTGATTTACATGCTCTCTGAGTCAGACAGGAAAGGCAGATCCTAATGTGGAAGCTGGATGCAAAATGACATTTCTTGCTCAGCAAAATTATCTCCAGTAAAACAAAATAAAAAAAAAATCATCCCATGACAATAGCTACAAAAACTTCAGAAGAATATTTGGGGGTGTAATAACTTATGAGTGATATGCAACAGATTAAGACCAGTTTGTTGCTTCTAAAAAGCATCCAGTCATCAGTCTCCACACTGCACTCTTGAGCTCCTGGTTCCTAATGCTGTAGATGAGGGGGTTCACTGCTGGAGGCACCGCCGAGTAAAGGATTGCCAGCACAAGATCCAGGGATGGGGAAGAGATGGAGTGGGGCTTCAGATAGGCAGATGTGACAGTGCTGATAAACAGGGAGACCACGGACAGATGAGGGAGGCACGTGGAAAAGGCTTTCTGCCGTCCCTGCTCAGAGGGGTTCCTCAGCACGGCCCTGAGTATCTGCACGTAGGACAGAACAATGAAAACAAAACAACCAACAGCTAAACAGGCACTAAATACAATATGTCCAGCTTCCCTGAGGTAGTCTGAGTCTGAGCAGGAAAGCTCGAGGATCTGGGGGATTTCACAGAAGAACTGGTCCACAGCATTGCCGTGGCAGAGTGGGAGTGAAAATGTGTTGGCAGTGTGCATGAGAGAATAGAGGAACCCAGTGCCCCAGGCAGCTGCTGCCATGTGGACACAAGCTCTGCTGCCCAGGAGGGTCCAATAGTGCAGGGGTTTGCAGATGGCAATGTAGCGGTCATAAGCCATGACGGTGAGGAGACAATACTCTGCTGTGAACAAGAAAAGGAAGAAAAACAACTGTACAGCACATCCCAAGTAGGAGATGGCCCTGGTGTCCCACAGGGAATTGGCCATGGCTTTGGGGACAGTGGTGGATATGCAGCCAAGGTCAAGGAGTGTGAGGCTGAGGAGGAAGAAGTACATGGGGGTGTGGAGGCGGTGGTCGCAGGCTATGGCAGTGATGATGAGGCTGTTGGCCAGGATGGCAGCCAGGTAGA